CTATGGAAAGTATATCCTCAGGTGAAAATTAACAAAAAAAAAACAACCCGTGTTTACCTTTCCCTCGCCTTGGTCCTGTCCTCAGAGGGCCAGGCAGCAAGCACAGCCCCGCTTCCCTCCCAGGCAGGCGGCGTCCCTGTGGGTTGATGAGGCCCCAGCGGGCCGGGGGCCATAGGAAGAGCTGTGATCGCGACGGTAGGGGCCGGTCAGTGCCGGGCCGGTCTCCACAGCGTCCGTCTTTCCGTCTCTGCTCACGCTCGTCGCCCTTCTTTCTGAGCACAGGTGTGTTCAGGACCCGCTGTCCCCCGACGGCCCACTCCCTCCTGTGTCCCCCGGGCCCCGCGCAGGCCTCCCTCCTCACACGCAGGCAGCTGGGCTGTCTTGATCATTCCACTGTTTGCGTGGTTGGAAAACTGTTCAAGCCAGGGGGAAGCAAAGTCAGGGCCCAGGCGTCAGCTTTAGACCTCAGTGCATTCCCACAGAGACAGTCCTAGGGAGCATGGCCTCAGAGGAAAGCCTGATCACGAGACGTGTGGAGAAGCGAGGTCCCGCAATCGTAAGCCCCCAGAAATAACTCCCAGCATTTTCAGCCTCTCTCTCTCTCTCCCTTCCTCTCTCTGAAATCAATAAAGATTTTTTTTAAAGGCTACTATTAAGAAAAAGAGAGAAAAGATATTAGTAGAAATGAAAAAGGAGACAGATATACAAATTTTTACCTATATATTTAAATGTTTACAACTAATGGACAGATTTGTAGAAAAATATAACATATAAGTGGATACAACAGATATGCAAGAATATAAACTTCTGTAAATGGATATGATACGACAATTAAAGATATTAAATTATATTAGCCTCATATAGTTTACAAAGGACTCCAGTCTTGCACAGTCTCAGACCATCCCTTGAGTCCAGGGTTCAGTTGGTACGGAAACCGTGATAGAACAAAGTAGGGAGGCAGTGATGTCGTTCATGAACATAGTGGTAAAATGCTAAACAAAAGAGCAAAGCGAACCCAACAACTTACATAAATAAGGATTTTTCACCACAAAGTTTATTTTTTTACAAGTATTGTCATTTTTAAAAAGCTATAAATGCAATTCATGTTAACAGCTAAAAGGCAGACAACATCATTTCATTAAGTAAAGACAAAGCATTGAATAAAATTAACTCGTGTTTTTAAAAATTTTAGCAGATGATAAATGGGAAAGAACTCCCTTAAACAAAAAGATGAAATGTTTTTAACAAGTGACAGTCACATCACACTTCATGGTTAAACATTAAAAACATTTTCCTTAAAATCAGTAAACGCATAAAGAAGACTCATCACCGTAAAGTTTACTATTGAGCAGTAGTATGTAGTAACCATCCCATTAAGACAGGAAAGAAGACATAAACACATCCAGCTAGGAAAAGAAGGAACAAAGTGTACTCATAAACCACAGTGTAGGTTGTGAAAATTTAAAATGTCAGTTTATTAATTATTTGAATTAATAACAGAGTGTAACGAGTTTCCTGGATACAATATCAACATAAAACATTGAATTGTGTCTCTGTACAAACCAGCACAAGGTGTTACAGTGCCTACTGTTTATTTCTGAATAAATGTAACAAATATACAAAAGGCCTGTATCAAGAAAGTTATTGTTTAGTCAGAGATGTTTAAAAACACCCAAATGGACAGGTTTATCATGACCATATGTAGGACAAGTGACTACCGTAAGCATGTACGTGTTTCGCCGATTGATGGGTTGATTCAGAGTAATTCCGTTCAGTCTATGCTGGATTTTTTTTTTTTAACCGAGGCAACATTTATTAACTTAACGCTAAGTGAAAACATCTGTGGTATTTAGCGCACACACAGTGTGGTGCGGCCACTACATTGATGTCGTTTCAGACATTTCCATCATCCGAAAGGAAACCACATGTGCATTGAACAGCGGCCCCGCCCTCCC